TGGCATTTTTTTCTTTGAAGCCTGGGCTGTCCTGGACCTTGATACAAAGGCCAGGTTGGTCTTGAACTCACAAAGCTCTACCTGTTCTGCCTCCCTGGTACTGAGATTAAAGGAGTGTTCCACGATACCTGGCTCATTTGACACTTCTTAATTTTTAGATGCTGGCTATGAGTTTGACATCTGCTTCACCTCTGTGCAGAAGAGAGCCATCCGGACCCTCTGGACCGTCCTGGATGCCATTGACCAGATGTGGCTGCCAGTGGTCAGGACCTGGCGCCTCAATGAGAGACACTACGGGGGTCTGACTGGTCTCAATAAAGCAGAAACTGCTGCTAAGCATGGTGAGGCGCAGGTAAAGATCTGGCGGCGATCTTACGATGTCCCGCCACCTCCGATGGAGCCTGATCACCCCTTCTACAGCAACATCAGTAAGGTACGGCAATATCCAGGTGTGGTCACTCATCAGTATCATTGGCCTCACTCTAGGTTATTTTTACTTTAAGCTGATGGGCGTGGGTGTTTGAACTTCATATATTTATGTACACCACACGGGTGTGTGGTGCCTATGGAGGTCAGAAGAAGACATCAGCCCCTCTGGAGCTTGAGAAAAATTTGTGGTTGTCAGCCAGCCTCTGTATGAGTACTGAGAACCAAACCTAGGGTCCTCTAGAAGACTAACAAGTGCTCTTAACTGCCAAGCCATCTCTCCAGCCCCCAGGCCTCCTACGTGTCTACCTACTTGTCAGTAACCTTATAATTTGTGATAAAATAATTAACATAACCCCCTTTGCTAAGTGATGACCTTCACTTGTTGCAGGATTTAGTTGGAAGTCAATGTTATATATCTGAGAGGGCTGTCTTCTTTTCACATCCTTATGGCCATATTTTATAAAATGATATCCGCCTCCCTAAAACAACTGTAAACTAAAGTGAGTCGGGAGACCTTGTATTTAACCCCCCTACCCTTTCTAAGTTCCCTGTTTTGGATTGGGGAATGTTGATGCAAGAGGATGGCTACTGATCTTTACGTTCTCAGCTGCATTCTGGACCCTGGAGAGGTCTTCATGAGTTCCTTAATCCTAAAGAGCTAGGGAAGCAGAATTGATACACATGAAAGCATCTTTATAGATGCAACTTGGAACAACTGGCAACCTTGAAATAAGACTTTGTTGATTAGGATCGCAGGTACGCGGACCTTACTGAGGACCAGCTGCCCTCCTGTGAGAGCCTGAAGGACACAATCGCCAGAGCACTGCCCTTTTGGAATGAAGAAATTGTGCCCCAGATCAAGGAAGGCAAAAGGGTCTTGATTGCCGCCCATGGCAACAGCCTTCGGGGCATTGTCAAGCATCTGGAAGGTATGTGCATTTTCTTACAGGAGTCACGGATGATTGATAGAACAGACCTGCCACTAATCAGACTGACTTTGTAACAAGGAGGCGGGGGGGGGGGGGGGGGGGGGGGGGGGGGGGGGGGGGGAGAATCTGATAGTGCAGATGAACTTAAGGAAAAACACATTTCTTCCTTTCTCAAAATATGGTCTGTCAGCGGGATATGGTGGCTTACACCTCTGACCCTGCCCCAGGAAGGCTGAAGCAAGAGAATCACTGAGTTCCAGGTCAGCCAGGGCTGTAGTGAGACTGATTCCATGGCAACAGGAAGTGTGTAATAAAGCAGTGACACTGACACTCTGCAGGTCGATACTTGGCTCAGAACTGTGGTGGTGTGTGATTGGATATGCACTGAAGTTGTACCTGCCTACTTTTGGAGCACCAGCTGAGTCACAGTGTGACTCCCTGAGGATCTAGAGGCCCAGGTGCCTGGCTATAGGATGTCTGGGGGCACAACCTGTAGTGTAACTTTCTGCAGTTTGTTCTGGCTCATTTGAGAATCTTGTGTACCTTCTCTTTCTTTCTTAGGCTTTTTAGAACAGGCTTGAGGAGACCTAATTAGGGCCTGTTCCTTGGGGGAATGGATCCACTAGATCAGAAAGGGTGTCTTGTTTGTTCCTACTTAAGTGCTTTGCCACTGGTAGATAAAAGTAAACCTGAAAGGGGGGGGGTGGACTCTTGTCTTGTGGCTGAACACGGTGGCTCTTTTAGGTCTCTCAGAAGAGGCCATCATGGAGCTGAACCTGCCAACTGGCATTCCCATCGTCTATGAACTGGACAAGAACTTGAAGCCCATCAAGCCCATGCAGTTCCTGGGAGATGAGGAGACCGTTCGCAAAGCCATGGAAGCTGTGGCTGCTCAGGGCAAGGTCAAGAAGTGAGGGCGAGGAGGCAGACTCCTACCCCAACAACACCCTCCCTGCCTGTTCCTGCCTCCCGCACCCTTCCCCAACCCCTGTCACACTGACTCATTGTTAGGCTCTTAGCTGCAGATGGGGACCCGTGGCTCCCATTCTAATTTTAGTATTTATCCCCTGCACCCACTCCCTTCATAGGATCTAGTCAGAATAACACCTCTGGGGGTGCAGATTCTTGGTCCACATCCAGGGACGGCTGCTCTTGCCAGGAGAGTCGAGAGGTAGTAATTATAGTCCTTTGTTTACTAAGGGTCTGCTAAGGAAGAGGTTGGGGGGACCATGCTGTGGTGTGACCCACGAGAAGCTGTGGCCTAGTTTTGTCCCTGGAACCTGTCCTGCACTCTTCCACAGTTAGGTGACTGGGGGCTATAGTCAGTCATTCCAGTGGAGGGTGATTTAAAAGATACTACTTCCTCTCTGACCCTAAGGGAACTGCTAGCCCCAGAAGGTTGGGATCAATTTTGTCAAGTCTATGTGTTACATTTACTTTTACAAAAAAAAAGAGGTACATACATATGTACATATATATATGTATATATCAGCACACAGAAGCCCCTCTGAGGTTTCTAGTGGTGGTTGAAACAGTCACTAAAAAATAAGCAGCCATTCCTCATGTCAAATGGGGTAACTCTTTGTCAAGGGGCAGGAGTACCCTTGCTGTGTTTGGATCCCGTTGCCTTGTTTGTAGAGGTGAAGGGCCCCTTGATCATGTCCAGTTTTCATCTTTGACTATCTGAATCATGTTCCAGCTGCTTGACCCTACCATATGGGTTGAGAACTAAATCTCTTTCCAGATCAGTATAATAAAGGAGTGATGTGCAATATTTTATGTCTGATGTCATACCTGTGGTCTGAGGAAACCTCAGCATTCAGTGTGAAGGGCACACTAAGTTCTTGATGGACAGATGGAGGGTTCTGAACATTAAAGGTGCTGGAGAGATGGCATAGCAGTAGACCAGGCTGTCTTCCAGTTCCCAAGGGCTGCCTGCCTCTGCCTCCTGAGTGCTGAAATTAAAGACTTGTCATTGTTCTCCTTTCCTCACAGCCTCCAGCCCAATATATTATAATTTTGCAAGTGTTACCAGTGTGAGAAACTGGATATAAGGTTCTAATGCTAGGCTTGAATCCTAGGGCTTTGTGAATGTGTTGGGTCAAGTCCAGCAGCAAAGCATGTGTAATGGCCTGAGCTTGACCCTCAGACAACAAAACAAACAATTGAATGTGGCCCTGCCCTTGCTAGTTTGTCAGCTTACAAGCTAGAGTTATCTAAAAGCAGGGAACCTCAGTTGAAAAAAATGCCTCAGAGAGATCCAGCTGTTAGGCATTTTTGTATTTATGATCAGTGGGGGTGGGCCCTGGGCAAGTGTTCCTGGGTTCTAGAAGATAGCAGGCTGAGTAAGCCAGTAAGTAGCACCCTTTACTGTCCTCTGCACCAGTTCCCAACTCCAGGTTTCTGCTCTGAGTTCCTGTCCTAACAGCCTTCAGTGACAGTGATGTGAAGGTGTAAGTCAAATAACCACTACCCCGCCAACCCAGCTTGCTTTTGGTCATGGTGTTTTGTTAGCAACAGAAGTCCTAAGACAGGTGCTGTTAATGCACTAAAATGAGATTTTGCTGTTATAGCCCTGACTGGCTATAACCGGTGTTTCTCCAACCTAAGTCTCCTGACTGTTAGAATTGCAAGTGTGCCACATTGGGCATAAGAAATTACATGTTCATGAAGAAAGCAAAAATGGGCTGGTGAGATGGCTCTGCAGGTAAAGGTGCTTAAAGCCAAATGTACCAACCAAGTTTGATCCCTGGGGCCCCGCATGGTAGAAGGAAAGGAAAGCTTACTTCCATATGCCACATAGGCAAGAAAGACCAAAATTAGCTCTTTTTTTTTTGGGGGGGGGGGGGGGACTGGAGATGGCTCAGTGCATAGACACTTGCCATAGAAGCATGACTTGAGTTTAAGTGCTGGAAGCCATGGAAACGGCTGGATGCAGTAGCATCTTTAATGCCAGCATGCCACAGCGAGAACTGCCTGGAAGCTCATGGGCTAGCTAGCCTGAAACACATGACAACGTGGGGCCCAGCAAGATGGCTCAGCAGGTAGAGGTGCTTGCTGTGACTTGAGTTTGTCCTCTGGAGCACAGAAAGGTGGAAAGAACTCCCCAAGTCCTTTGACCTCCACACACATGCTGTATCATAAATGCTTTGGCACGTACTTTTGCACATAAAGTGTAGTTACAATAGTGGTCATGTTAAAAAACCAAAACCAAGGTTAGGGAAGATAACTGATTCCCAAAAGCTGTCCACACACATTTATGTAAGTAGCACATTCACTCTAAACAAAAGATACTACTAACCTGCTGAAAGCAACTAGAGATCACAAACCCAGGCAGGCTGAACCCAGAGCTCACTTCCACCGTGGACAAACCCCATGTCGACAGGACCCATGCCTGTGCAGTCTCCATGCTTCATAGCGATTCTTTCCTCCTCCCCATGTTCAGGCCTTGATTTTTGGTTCAGCATGCTAGGGAGGCCACTCATTCCACACTTAGCATCTTCACAATTGCTTTGGTCTTATCCATCTCACATGATAGCATTCTGTCTCCGGTCAATTCAGTTAACAGTTCCTGGGATACTTACTCTGACATTGGAGCAGTGTTTACCACAGATCTTCAGAACACACCCACAGGCCCAACAGTTTTCATTAAACATGCTTGTTAGTGAGGGGTTTATTCAAAGTGACAAGCAGGCACACATACATATAAAACACAAAACAATGGGATTGATGATTACGGCTGGTTGAGTTAGTGAATGCCACTATGCAAACACCTGATCCACAAGTCATGACACTGCTTAGACTTTTCTCTCTGCTAAAGACAACACAAGACTTTATGTATTTAATTTTTGGTGTTTTCAAGACAGGGTTTCTCTGTGTAGCCTTGGCTGTCCTGGACTGGCTTTGTAGACCAGACTGGCCTCCAACTTACAACAGTTCACATGCTTCTGCCTCCCTGAGTGCTGGGATTAAAGGCGTGTACCACCATGCCCTGCTCCACTAACAATTAAAAACAAAACCAGTTAGAGATATATTTTAAGTCAGGTATTATATATATATGTAATCCCAGCACTGGGGAGACTGAGGCAGAAAGATCACTGCAAGTTCACCTAAATAGTGAGAACAGGAACTGTGCTGATGGCTTAAAAGTTAAGGGCAGCTGCTAACCAAGCACCTGAGTTAAAATCCTAACCATCTACATGAAAATGCTGCACCTGCTCTCCCTCTTTCACACACAAATAAGAAAACTGTAACACTAACAAATGAAAATAATTTTCCAGTCATAGCAAAATACATACATATATATATACTTATAAAAAAGACATACACTATTTCCAGTATTACAAGATTTTGTTTGCTCAATGCCTTTAAATGTGATTCACAAGCCCAGAGAATAAAAATCAGTTTCCCAAGAATTATATTTCAAATAGGTGTACATTTTCTTTTTTGTCCTTTTCGTCGAGTCTTACTATATAGCCCAGTCTGGCCTCAAACTTGGGAACTAACAGTCTTCCTGTCTTGGGTGTTCATCAGGACATGAATGTATGTCTGTCCCATTCTTCAGGAGGTGGCTGCAAGCCGACTCTAGGCACCTTAATAAAGAGCACGGTGTATTGGCTTCTTTTCACACATGCGCTTTTGGAAGGAGGTGACTCCAGGGATAGTGTGCTTAGGTCTGTAAGAACTCAGGCTGTACTCTGGCCACTTTGCGGAATTCTTTAGTGTGGGTCTTAGGGCATTGCATCTCACACCAGCTGATGGGAACCATCTGGACCCCTGGAAGGACAAAGACAAGCTAGTGTTGGAGGGTGATTCCCAATATTCTGCTGAGGTTCTTTTCTTGTCAGCTAGACATGACAGGGC